CCTTTACCCCCAAAGTTAAGCTTATTATACCCTTGAAATGATGTAATGTCTGGAAGTTATTTGACTAGGTTTATAACTTGTAGGACCTTTTATAGTCTTTGATAGAATCAGGTGCAAAACCTATTGATTTCTGTACCAGGTACCTCCAGACTTGACTTCCACAGTGCTAACTTTTTGGCATTTATTCTTGTTTTTAAATTTTTACTATGATAGGTAGGTAACGTTCCAGAAATGAAAGGCAGGGAGTAGACGAGGTCTATTCCAGGAATCTGTTCCACTGTGAGGAAATTAAATAGTATATCACTAGTTCTAAGATAGATTACAACTAACCTCCTCCTCTCCCTTTTTTGCTTTTTAATCTCCCAGTGTAAAATAAAACAACAATTAAATCTACTAAATTTTTGTGAGGTTTTTCATTCAAAGTTTGAGGTCATCGAGCGATATTTTGGAATTGGACCCAGTCTAAGAATTGTGACCTCAGAGAAAGAGTCCACAATTGAACTGTGGCTTTCAAGTCACTACCACCCCTGTTCTACCTTCTGTGTACCATTGGTAGGATTCCTTGATTATATTATGCTTTTTACTGTTAAAATAACCATTAATTATTGCCTATAGTAAATAGTACTTTTCCCAAAGGTTTTTATGTAGTCAATGTATTAGACGTTAAAAAAAAAAAAGAAAGCAAGAAAAGAAATACAGTGTGTGAACTGGATCTTTTGTTTTTTTTCTCAGACCAGGCATCTAGCATAGTTGCTGGTGAAAAGGAGCTGATCCCACCAGTGCCTGAGGAGACACTTGCCTCTGAAACAGATATCAACCTGGAGGTATCATTTGCTGAGCAAGCCGTCAATCAGGAAGAGAGCGCCAAGGATAGGACCCAGAAGAGCAAAGACAATGATACCTTGTTACCTGTACGTAGTACACTGTTCAGCTATCACTAAACAGAAGAGTTGATTTTTATCAGCTTTTTATTTTGATATTTTTGAACCTATAGAAAATTGAAAGAATAGTATAGCAAGCACCCGTACAGCCTTCATGGAGATCCATGCAACAGTTAACATTTCACAAACTTGGCTTTTTTTCTTTCTACATCTATCTGTATATATGTTGTGTTATATATTTACTCACTTTTTTTAGTTTAATAAGGGCATATAAAATAAAATACAGTTATAATACTTAAGACATTGAACTCTGAAACAAAATTATATTTAATATATGGTCATATTGAACATTTCCCAGTTGTCACAANTTCAAAAGTCGAGCTCTTCTGCTTGAAATCTGAAGGCATGGTGACATAGTCTATTGTAAATGTTTTCCCTACACTTAGGTCTTTATACATATTCAATCAAATGTACTTACTCTAAATGAAAAAGTTACAAAGTTGTAAAAGTTGTAATGTTGCAAGGGTTAATTAATCTACTGCTAAGTATCATCTTTAGCTTTTCATCAAATGATACAGCTCTGTGTATACGAAAGACCCAGTGTTTGACACATGCATTTAGATATATTAATAATGCCATGCACAAATAATTTTTAAAGCTCTCATATTAATGTATATTTACTTCTTTTTATTATTATTTTATTTCCATGGAGGAAAGAAAATTCTTTTTATAAATAAAGGCATTTAGGGTAATTCAGATAATTGAAAAATTTTTGTTTGGTAAAATATTTATAACCTGGTACTATTGACCACTTCAAAACCAAAGGAGAATGGATGAAAGAAATTATATGATTTATACTTGAGGACTTTAAGAGTCAACAGGGTTATCTCAGCATTCTCTGAACTTTTTTCTTTGAGAGTGGATCATTGATTCATAGATACCTTTATTGGCCAATTAACCATCAGTTTCTTGTGGCAGCACCCCTCCATCATTCCTCAAACTGTTTTTCCTACTATCTGCCCTAACTTGATTTACCATTTGAACCTTTATGCTTTTATATACAATGTGGTTTTTTTTTTCCACATTTTGGAGGAAATTTATGTTTTAAATGTATTATAACTTAATTATAATTTCTTTCCTCAGTTTTTAATTCAGTCCAGCACATTTGTTGGGGATGGGGTGTTTACTGTAACTCTGACCTGGATGTGTTGAGGAGAAAAGGGAATACTTATAAGATTCTTGTCCATAAACAGTCAGCTTCTGGAAAAGTAGCTTCTAATTTAAGAAAATGGATAATAAGTTTTTTTCTCCCCAGCTTAAAATGGTTTCCTGAGAAACCAGTTTACATATTCACAGTAAAACATAAAACAGTGT